TCAGTGTGCTTCCGGTTCAATTGCATTATGGCTGACATGACCGTCTAAACTAATATGATCGTCTGCAACTGACTTGACCATCTAGCTGAGCATGATAATCTATATGATAATCTAAAATACCAATGATGATGCACCGGTACGTCATAGCTGACATGACCGTCTACACTTATTGACGTGCATCTGCAAAGCTAACGATCGTCTGCACCATTATTCTTGACAAATCTACCATCCCAACATGATCGTCTCTTAAGCTGACATGATAAATCATACAGCTGACATGATAAAATCTGCCAAAAGCCAAGCATAGATTAATCTGCACCATTGACACTTTGTCCATCACCATTGACATGATCGTCTGCATAGCTTGACATGACCATCTCACATAGCTGACACCCATTGTCTACTGCAAAACAGCACTGTAATCTCAACAGCTGGCCTTGACCGTCTGCATAAAGCTTCAGCAGTACGTCTAGCTGTCTTGATAAATCATATGGATCGTCACAAAAGTGACATTAAATCTGCAAATTTGACGATAATCTGCAATGACGCGATATCTGCAAAAGCTGAAAATCATAAGCCAATACGGATCGTCTATAAAGCTGACGTAAATCTGCATGAAGCACTTGGATCATCTGCATGGCTGACATTAAATCTGCAAAACAACATGGATCGTCAAGCAAAAGCTGACGCGGTAAAATCATAGCAAAAGCTGACATGATCACAAAACAACTTGGTAAATCACATAAAGCTGACACTTGATAAGTCTGCCACTTCGACTTTGGAAATACGTCTGCATAGCTAGCGCAGTAATCTGCATAAAAGCTAGGCACCTAGCCTAACCTATTATCGACTAAGGGTATCGTGGATCCATTCAGCTCCTCGTGTCGGCAGGCACACACACACACACACACACACACACACACACACACACACACACACCGTTTCTGTCCTCACAAATTCTAATTTCGGAGGATCACAGGAAGAGGAGGATAGAGGAGGAGGAGGATGGGAGAGGAGGAGGGTAGAGGAGGTGAATTGAGAAGAGGAGAGAAGAAATATGTGGATGATAAAACAAAAAAGAAGATCGTGTGGAGAGAGAGGAAGGCGCAAGCAAACACCATCGCCGGAATTCCTCCAGCCTCAGTCAACACCTCTTAAGCCACCTCAGACGGATCCCTTGACTCTGAGACAGACAGACAGACGGACACAGACAGACATGGGAGTGTGGCTGGATTTGCTTTAGTCGACTATCCATATCTGGTTGTGTTTTAACTCTTGTGTGGTGGTGGATGAGTGGATGTATTCGCCTCTTGTCTACAGGTCACTGGTTTCGGTCAGGTGTGAAACAGGTACCTGACGTTACAGTTGAGAGTCTGGTGGTCGAGTACAGTGTGGGGCCATGCCTCCTTGTGTACTGAAGGCGTGGTGTACAGTGTTGTTGTTGTTTTGTGTTGTAATTGTTGTTTATTATTATTATTATTATTATTATTATTATTATTATTATTATTGTTTATTTGTTGTTGTTTATTTGTTATTATTATTATTATTATTATTATTATTATTATTATTATTATTATTATTATTTTTATTTGTTGTTGTTTTGTTGTTGTTGATATGCCACATCACAGGCGGGTTGGCGGTCATCACTAGGGTCGTGTAGTGAACAATAAAGGTTTTAATAGGGATTGCTGACAACCATTTTGCTCAGCGTGGACTTTATTACCGTTAGCAGATGGCGCTGCCGTTATGGCGACTGGGGGGGGTGATGTATCCTCTCGAGTCTTGGACTGGGTGTTTGGTGTGGGTTAAGTATGGGGGCGTGTGTGGGGCGTGGGTTAAGTATAGGGGGCGTGTCGTGGGATTGGGATAGTATGGGGGCGTGTCGTGGGCGTGGGTTAGATTATGGGGCGTGTCGTGGGGTGGTGGGTTGGTAGGGGCATGTGATGGGCGTGGGTTGAACATCGGAACGTGTAGTTGGGCGTGGGCGGGCGTGGATGGTTTGATTATCCTCATAGCCTTGCGTGCCAGCATGGTGTGGGCATGGGCGTGGGTGTTGGCTTATGGGCGTGCGTGCTGTAGGCGTGGGAAGAGAGATGAAGAGCATTATTACGCCCACCACGCAATCCCGCCTGGATTCTCTTAAGTGATTTTCGGGGCGTGTGGGGCATGGATGCGGTAGTGGGCGTGTAGGCGTGTCAGGTGTAGGTGTTGGCGTGTGGGTGTGTGGGCGTGTAAGTGTGTGGGCGTGCGGTTGTGTAGGCGTGGTGGGCGTGTGGGTATGTGTGTGCGTGTGGGCGTGTGGGTCTTAGACCTCTTGACCGTTGCGAATCAGCTTATTTGTCTCTCTCTCTCTCTCTCTTCGGGACATGCTGGCACAGGAGCTTAATAAGTGTGTGTGTGTGTGTGTGTGTGTGTGTGTGTGTGTGTGTGTGTGTCCTGAGTTTTAGAGCCTTGTCACGTGTGGTCGTTTTGTGTGTGGTTGTTTAATGGTGAGAGAGAGAGAGAGTGCCCATAGGAGAAAGTTATGGAAGGAAGATGGAGGGAAGGAGGGAGGGAGGAGAGAGAGGGAGGGAAGGAGAGGAGAGGATGGAGTGGGGGAAGGAAGGAGGGGGAGGGAAGGAAGGAGAGGGAGGAGGAAGCGGTAATGGGTGGTCTATGCTTCAGTGGGTGGCACTTTTGTGTTTTGTGTTTGTTTGTTTTTTGTTTTTTGGTTTTCTACCCTTGGCACTTTCTACCTTTGGCACTACCCTCTGGCATTGTTTTTCTGCCCTTGGCACTTTCTGACCCTTGGCACTGTACCCTTGTCACTGTCTGACCTTGTACTGTCTGCCCCTGGCACTGTCTAACCTGGTGAAAGAGAGCAGAAGGTGAAAAGTGATCAACAAAAGTGTTCTGAAGATAGTTAAAAAGTAGTCACACGTTCAAGCTCAACTGTTTTTCTCTCTTTTCATCAATTCACACAACAGGTTGGGTGGTTGGACAGGTAGTGTGTACTGCTTGGAATGGTCACTGCCTCTAGTTGGAAAGTAGTTTTCGAGAGATGGTTTGAAAGAAATGGAGTGTGTGTGTGGTGTGTGTGTGTGTGTGTGTGTGTGTGTGTGTGTGTGTGTGTGTGTGTGTGTGTGTGTGTGTGTTTGTGTGTGTGTGTGTGTGTGTGTGTGTGTGTGTGTTTACATTCTCTCTCCTTCCTCCTTCCATTCCATTTTCCTCCCTCTTCCTCCTCCTCCCTTTGCTTCCTTCCCTCTACGACTGGCACTGTCTGCTCCTCCCTAGTCTACTGGCATCATGGCACTCTTTCCTCCCTCCCATCTGAATTTCTCCCTCTCTCTCACACACACACACACACACACATTATCATGCAAGCATCTGAGTTTTCGACAGCTCGGGCAACAAACAACTCAGGCAACAAACAGCTCAGGCAACAACAGGCAGCTCAGGCAACAAGCAACTCGGGGCAACAAGCAGCTCAGGCAACAAACAGCTCAGGCAACAAACAGCTCAGGCGGCAAACAACTCGGGCAACAACAACTCAGGGGAAAAAGAAGCGGCTCAGGCAGCAAACAGCTCAGGCAACAAGCAGCTCAGGCAACAAACAGCTCGGGCAGCGAAGCTGCTAGGCAATAAAGCAGCTCAGGCAACAGGTAGCTCAGGCAATAAGCAGTCAGGCAATAACAGCTCGGGCAATAAACAGCTCAGGCAACAAACAGCTCAGAGCAATAAAGCAGCTCCAGGCGGCAAACAGCTCAGGCAACAAGCAGCTCAGGCAATAAACAGCTCAGGCGGCAAACAGCTCCAGGCAATAAGCAGCTCGGGGCAACAAACAGCTCTGGCAACAGACAGCTCAGGCAACAAACGCTCAGGGCAACAAGCAGCTCGGGCGATAAACTCGGGAAACAAAGCAGCTCAGGCAACAAACAGCTCAGGCAATAAACAGCTCCAGGCAACAAACGGCTCAGGCAACAAAACAGCTCGGGGCAACAAACAACTCAGGCAACAAACAGCTAAACAAGCAGCTCCGGGCAACAAACAGCTCGGGCAACAAACAGCTCAAGGCAATAAACAGCTCTGGGCAACAAGCAGCTCAGGCAACAAACAGCTCAGGCAACAAACTCAGCAACAAACGGCTCAGGCAATAAGCTCGGGCAACAAACAGCTCGGCAATAAAGCAGCTCAGGGCAATAAACAACTCCAGGCAACAAACAGCTCAGGCAACAAACAGCTCAGGCAATAAACAGCTCAGGCAACAAACAGCTCAGGCAACAAACAGCTCAGGGCAACAAACAGCTCAGGCAATAAACAACTCAGGCAACAAACAGCTCAGGCAACAAACAGCTCCAGGCAACAAACAGCTCTGGCAACAGAACACCAGCAATAAAACTGACCACGTGAGATAAAGATAGTGGCTCGTGGAGAGGAAGGAAGGAAGGAGGAGGAGGGAAGGAAGGAAGGAAGGAGGAGGAAGGAAGGAGGAAGGAAGGAAGGAGGAGAGCAGGGGAGAGGGAGGAGAGGAAGGAAGAGAGTAGGGAAGGGAAAGGAAGGAAGGAGGTAGGGAAGGAAGGAAGGAAGGAGGGCAGGAGGAGGAGGGGAGGAAGGAAGGGAGGAGGAAGGTAGGGAAGGAGGAGGGGAAGGGAAGGAGGGAGGGAAGGAAGGAGGAGGGAGGAAGGAGGGAAGGAAGGAAGGAGGAGAGCAGGGAGGGAGGAGGGAAGGAAGGGAGGGAGAGCAGGGAGGGAGGGGGAAGGGAAGGAGGTGGGAGGGAAGGAAGGAAGGGAAGGGAAGGGGAGGAGGGAGGGGAAGGGAAGGAAGGAAGGGAAGGAAGGAGGCAGGGAGGGGAGGGAAGGAAGGAGGGAGGGAAGGGAGTGGAGAAGGGGGGGAGCAGGGAGGGGGGGAGGGGAGGGAAGGAAAAGGAGGAGGAGGGGGAAGGAAGGAAGGAAGGAAGGAGGGAGGGAGGGAGGGGGAGGGTGAGGGAGTAGATAGATATATAATGAACTCTTGGGGTTATATATTCTCTATCTATCTGTCTGTCTGTCTGTTCTATCTATCCATCTGTCTGTCTATCTGTCTGTCTGTCTATCTGTCTGTCTGTCTGTCTGTCAGTGACCTTGTATACTTTAGTGTGATAGAGAGAGAGAGAGAGAGAGAGAGATATAGTGTTACACCGCTGCCACCAAGCCCAGGCAGGGTGTCTGCCACCACTCACACAACTGACTCTGGCCTCTGTGTTTCTAGAGTGTGTGTTGTCAGAGCTGCTGAGTGTTGACAACTTGTTTAGAGCATCTCTGACAACACTCTCATGCCTTCTGACAACACTAAGGCCTATAACAATCATTCTTGCAACAACACTCCCATTAAGTCAATGTTATTGGACAAGCAGCACCTGCCATATCATCAAACCACCACTACCACCACCGCCACACTACCACCACCACACTACCACCACCACATTACCACATCATCACCACCAGTAGTAGTAGTAATGTTATTAGTGAGTGGCAGAGATGTGGCGGGGGGTGTCAGGGGGTGGTGAGGTGTCAGGGGTGGTGGGGGTGACAGTGACATCCTGTAGGAGATAAGGTAATGTTAACACGTGAGGGGTGAGGAGAAAAGGGGGGGGGGGGGGAGGGTAGGGTGAGGAAATATCCATAGAGGTAAAGGAGGGGTTCAGCATTGTGCACCTGGGATTAATAACGTCACCATTATCCATATGACGTCACATTTACCTGGTGACGTCATCCTTGCCACGCTCATTAAGTGACGCAATCCTTTAGCGTTGTCAAATACCTTACTGATCACCTGGAGAGGGGGGGGGGTGCGTCGTCATTAGGTTTTGCTGTAATTAACTGCAGGTAATTAGATAGCGCCGTCAGAACCTGTCTGGCTGGGCGTGGGGAGATTGGGCGTCAGGGAGAGAGATGCATGCCTATATATATTTGCTATATTAATTGACGTCAGGAAGAATAAATAAAAATATTTCTGGCCTAATAACAGGTAAGATGTGTACAACACACAGCCTCCACCTGCCTTAGGTTAGGTTAGGTCACCTATTTTAACACCAGATGAACGCTGATAGTCCAAGACTCACCTGGGAGGTTCACGTTGGGTGTCTGACACCTAAACTTCTGCCGAAGGAGTGGTGCGTGGCTCTGCCAAGGTGGGAGAGCCACAGTGGCACCTAGCTACTGCCAGAAGGGGTGGTGAGACGTGGCACCTAAACTACTGCCGAAGGTGGGTAGAGCCCAGTACTAGTGGTAAATGGCAATAGTGTAGCTAGTTGGTCATATTACTGTGTGTCGTGGGTATGGAACCAAATGCAGGGTTCTCACATCTCAGTTAGTTGGCAGATTGAACTTGAGAACCTTGAACCTATGAAGATCTTTGAGGACCTTTGAGATCCCATCTTTGTGTCAAGTTTAGTTGAGCCAATTAGATGTGTTCTTGGACCCATAGTCTCTGAGAAATGGAATTATTTGGAACCTTGAGAGCCTTTCTTTGTGTGGCAAGTTAAGGTAACCAGGTGTGATTTCACCCCTTTCCTACAATTCTTTCTGTGCAGTGCTGACGTCACACCCGCCTAGCCTGACCTATTTTGGTGGGAGCTAGAATCCGCTGCACCAGCCAGCAGCAGCAGCAGCGGCGGCTCGTGGTTGACCTATTTTCCCGAGACCTATATCATGTGTGCAGCTGTAGCCGGCCGGTGGAAGGAGGATAATGGGGGGATGGGGAGAAGGGGTGTGATTGAGATGGGGGAGGGGGTGGATGGGGAGTGGGTGGGGAGGTAGTGGAGAACTGCATGACCTATTTCCAGGATGCGCTTAGTCACAGTAGCGTGCCGGGTGAGAGAGGAGGGTGACCTATTTTCCAGTTGCGATAACTAGCGCCGTGTGTGTTGGTCATGGGCAACACGAAGGAGGAGGAGAGCACAGGAAGAAGAAGAGGAGGAAGGAGGTGTTTACTGCTGGTCAGGAAAGTGGACCTCGGGCACAATGGTGGTAGTAGTTGTGGTAGCGTAGTATTGTTGGTAGGGATAGTAGTTGTTGGTAGTAGTAATAGTGGTTATTGAATGACACGAGTACCAATCTTAAATCACGCCGATGATGGTGACGATAGTGGTGATGGTGACGATAGTTGTTATACGATAGTTGATGGTGATGTTATGGTGACGATATGTTATGGTGACGATAGCCAATTAATCTTCAGTCTATCTTTCATCAAAATAGATCGTCAGTGGATACTAAAAGTATTGGCACTAAAGGGTGGCACTAAGATGGCACTAAGATTAAAGGAATTTAAAGGATGGCAAAGGGTGGCAGGATAAGGTGGCACTAAGGGATGGCACTAAGGGTGGCACTAAGGATGGCACTAAGGGTGGCACTAAGGATGGCACTAAGGGTGGCACTAAGAGGATGGCTCAGGGTGGCACTAAGGATGGCACCAGGGTGGCACTAAGGATGGCACTAAGGGTGGCACTAAGGATGGCACTAAGGGTGGCACTAAGGATGGCACTAAGGGTGGCACTAAGGGTGTGGCACTAAGGGTGGCATTAAGGATGACTAAGGGTGGACCAGGATGGCACTAAGGGTGGCACTAAGGATGGCACTAAGGATGGCACTAAGGGTGGCACTAAGGGTGGCACTAAGGATGGCACTAAGGGTGGCACTAAGGGGATGGCACTAAAGGGTGGCACTAGGATGGCACTAAGGGGTGGCACTAAGGATGGCACAAGGATGGCACTAAGGGTGGCACTAAGGATGGCACTAAGGGGTGGCATAAGGATGGCACTTGAGGTGGCACTAAGGGGCACTTTCAAGGGTGGGTGGCACTAAGGGTGGCACTAAGGATGGCACTAGGGTGGCACTAAGGATGGCACTAAAGGTGGCACTAAGGATGGCTAAAGTGCTTTCAAGATGGCACTAAGGTGGCACTAAGGATGGCACTAGGGTGGCACTAAGGATGGCACTAAGGATGGCACTAAGGGTGGGGTGGCACTAAGGGTGGCACTAAGGATGGCACTGGGTGGCACTAAAGGGGTGGCACTAAGGATGGCACTGGTGGCACCAGGATGGCTAAGGTTTTAAGGGTGGCACTAAGGGTGGCACTAAGGATGGCACTAAGGGTGGCACTAAGGATGGCCAGGATGGCACTAAGGGGTGGCACTAGGGGTGGCACTGGGATGGCATCAGGGTGGCACTAAGGATGTGGCACTAAGGATGGCACTAGGGGTGGCACTAAGGATGGCACTAAGGATGGCACTAAAGGTGGCACTAAGGATGGCACTAAGGGTGGCACTAAGGATGTGCAAGGTGGCACTAGGATGGCACTAGGGTGGCACTAAGGGTGCACTAAGGATGGCACTAAGGGTGGCACTAAGGATGGCACTAAGGGTGGCACTAAGGATGATGGCACTAAGGGTGGCACTAAGGGTGGCACTAAGGATGGCACTAAGGGTGGCACTAAGGATGGCACTAAGGTGGCACTAAGGATGGCACTAAGGGTGGCACTAAGGATGGCACTAAGGGTGGCACTAAGGATGGCACTAAGGGTGGCACTAGGATGGCACTAAGGATGGCACTAAGGTGGCACTAAGGGTGGCACTAAGGGTGGCACTTAAGGTGGCACTCTTCCAACACCTCCGACTGATACTACACTTGGAAAGGTTAAATTAGTGGCATAGTTATAGTGAGCAACACGAGGTGGCCCGCCCCGCCCGCCCGCCCGCCCGCCCTTATGTTGGTGTGTGGTTTAGGGGTGGGGTGATGTGATGGGACAGCAGATAAGCCACCACTCCCTACCAAATTTGAGCTGCTTACTACACACACACACACACACTCACACATCATCAATGCTTCTCTCAGTCAAGCCAGATGCCCAGCTGACTGGAAGACCTCTTATGTATCACCAGTGCCCAAGTCAAGCAGCCCACAATCGCAAATCAGCTACGACCTATGCAATCACCCCAATACCCAGCCTAATCTGTGAAAGTTTGTGTTTGACTGGGCTTATGCTGATATTGCAGGAGTCGTGAGCCCTCAGCAATTTGCAACATGAAAACTTCCTCCACCACTCACTGTCTTGTCAGCTTTCTCGATTACATATACCGCCATCTCGAGAGCAAACGTCTGTAGCTGTCGCCTTCATTGATTTCACTAAAGCGTTCGACCTAGTCGACCACAATATAATCATAAACAAAGCTATTGACCTCGGCTCGGAGAAATCTCATACCATACAGACTTCCTC